GTTCCTTTCAACCCCAACCCGACTTTGACCCAACATGCTGACGTCATGGGGTAGGGTGGCTAGCTCCTTTCCGCCCCGACTTTGACCCCAACATGCTGACGTCATGGGGTAGGGTGGCTAGCTCCTTTCCGCCCCGACTTTGACCCCAACATGCTGACGTCATGGGGTAGGGTGGCTAGCTCCTTTCAACCCCGACTTTGACCCCAACATGCTGACGTCATGGGGTAGGGTGGCTAGCTCCTTTCCGCCCGACTTTGACCCCAACATGCTGACGTCATGTGGTAGGGTGGCTAGCTCCTTTCCGCCCCGACTTTGACCCCAACATGCTGACGTCAGCATGCGAGTACTCAAAGTTGACTGAGAGAGGTCGCCGGACGTGAACCCAGGACCTTGCAATTGCAATGCCAGCGCTCTGCCACATAACAGAAGCCTTAAAAGAATATTTTTTCTTACCTTATCTGACTACCCTTAAAAATAAGAAAGAAAGGAAAAAAAAGAGAAAAGAAAAGAAAGAGAGAGAAAAAAACAAAAACCTTAAAAGAATATTTTTTCTTACCTTATCTGACTACCCTTAAAAATAAGAAAAAAAAAGAGAAAAGAAAAGAAAGAGAGAGAAAAAAACAAAACATGGCAACACTGATGCTGATGATAAGGTATTTTAAATTGCTATTGTTCAGATAACGTACTGATTAATTAGCGTTTTTAAAGTAGATGCAAGGGAGGGAAATTAACAAAGAAAATAAAAATCACAAGAGATTAAAAAAATGTATATAATGGTAGGGAAAGGACATATAATTTATTCTGCAACGTCGCATAGACCGTGTGTGTGTGTGTGTGTGTGTGTGTGTGTGGTGTGTGTGTGTGTGTGGTGTGGTGTGTGTGTGTGTGTGTGTGTGTGTGTGTGTGTGTGTATTTATATTTGTCTGCTTGTTTGTACGTGTCTGTATGTGTGTGTATACATTTTAGAATTATAAAACTTTCGCCAAGTTCATGAAACACTTTGACGACGAAATAAAACACAATCACGATATATAGCGAACCATTATTTATTGATCGTGACGAAATAAAACACAGTCACGATATATAGTGAACCATTATTTATTGATCGTGACGGAATAAAAAGCCACAATATATAGTGAACCATTATTTATTGATCGTGACGGAATAAAACACAATCACGATATATAGTGAACCATTATTTATTGATCGTGACGGAATAAAACACAATCACGATATATAGTGAACCATTATTTATTGATCGTGACGAAATAAAACACAGACACAATATATAGCGAAAAATTTATTTATTGATCGTGACGAAATAAAACACAGCCACAATATATAGCGAACCATTATTTATTGATCGTGACGAAATAAAAAGCCGCAATATATAGAGAACCGTTATTTATTGATCGTGACGGAATAAAAAGCCACAATATATAGCGAACCATTATTTATTGAACGTGACGAAATAAACACAGTCACGATATATAGTGAACCATTATTTATTGATCGTGACGGAATAAAACACAGTCACGATATATAGAGAACCATTATTTATTGATCGTGACGAAATAAAAAGCCACAATATATAGTGAACCATTATTTATTGATCGTGACGAAATAAAACACAGACGCAATATATAGCGAACCATTATTTATTGATCGTGACGAAATAAAACACAGACACAATATATAGCGAAAATTTATTTATTGATCGTGACGAAATAAAACAGCCGCAATACATAGCGAACCATTATAATATATAATATTATATATTATACATATATAGTGAATATATATATATATATATATACATATATATATATATACATATATATATATATATATTATATATATATATATATATATATATATATAATATATAGAGAACCTTTATTGATCGTGACGAAACAAAACACAGTCGCGATATATAGTGAACCTTTATTTATTGATCGTGGTTCTGTTAATCTTCAACCTTTTCTCTATATGATGGAAATTTGTTTGTTATTTTGGTCGCATGTTTTCGTTCAGATAACTTGTGGTTCACATCGTCTTTTCGGATTAATTGTACTGAAATATATAAATTGTACTGAAATAGATTAATTGTACTAAGATATTTTAATTGTACTGAAATATTTAAATTGTACTAAAATCGATTAATTGTACTAAGATATTTTTATTGTCAGGAAATATTTAAATTGTACTGAAACAGATTAATTGTACTAAGATATTTTAATTATATTGAAATATATAAATATATCTCAACCAATAATCCGGCACCTCTCAACCAATAATCCGGCACCTCTCAACCAATAATCCGGCACCTCTCAATCAATAATCCGGAACGGCCTTACACCGGAGGATTCCTAAGGGTTTTCTTCGAGCCAACGAGACGGGGAAGGAAATTTCGACGTGATGTAAGATCTCTAAGGAATAAAATCACTTTCTGTTTTATGTAAGTCTTAGGATGCGGGAGGGAAGGGGGATTTTTTTTTTCGTTGCTGGGTTGGTTGGGGGATTTAAACTTGGGGATTTAAAGACTTGGGGGGTTTAGATTTGGATTTAGATATCTGGGGATTTAAATTTAGGGATTTAAACTTGGGGATTTAAATTTGGGGATTTAAATATCTGGAGATTTAAATACTTGGGGATTTAAGCACCTGGGGATGTAATCCCTTGGGGATTTAAATATCTGGGGATTTAAGCACTTGGGGATTTAAACTGTCGGGGATTTAAACATCTGGGGATTTAATCGCTTAGGAATTTAAATACCAGGGGATTTAACGGTCGGGGACTTAAACTTTCGGGGATTTAAACAACATGGGGATTTAAACACCGGGGATTTAAAGACCTGGGGATTTAAAACTCGGGGATTTAACAGTCGAGGATTTAAAAACTTGTGGACGATAACAATAATGATAATAACAATAATGATAATGATATCAGCAATCATGATAATGAATGTAATAATAATAATCATAATGATAGCGATGGTAACAATCATGGTCATGATAATAATAATGATAGTAATATCAACGATAATGATAATAGTAATGATGATAATAATAATGATGATAATAATAATAATAAGGAGGAGGAGGAGGCTATTAATAATGATGATGATAATAATAATGATAATAATAATGATAATAATAATAAAGATAATAATGATAATAATAACAAAGATAATAATGATCATAATAATAAAGATAATAATGATGATAATAATAAAGATAATAATGATGATAATGATAAAGATAGTAATGATAATAATATCAATAGTAATGATGATGGAAATGATAATAAAGATGATAATAATAATAACAATAATGGTACTAACAACAATAACGACGGTAATAATTAAAGAAAGGATATAATGTATTTAATAGTAATGAAAATGATGCTAATAGTAATAACGATAACAGTAATAGTAATGATAATAACAATAACAACAATATTTATGATAATAATGATAATAATAACAAGAGCAGCAATAATAATAAATAATAATATAATAATAATAATAATAATAATAATATAATAATAATAATAATAATAATAATAATAATAATAATAATGATAATGATAATAATGATGATAATAATAATAATGATAATAATAATAATATAATATAATAATAATTGATAATATATAATACAATAATAATAATAATAAAGAATAAAAATAGAAATAACAATGATAATGATGATAAAAACAAATAACAATGATATCATATTATTGTTAATATCATCAAGCTCTTTCCACGTTCAACATTGTCTTTCATTGCTCAAAGGGAACGCAATAAACTAAAAAAGTTGTTGAATTACTCTCCAGTTACTCGTCTTTATTGTATGTTAATGAACACCTGAGCTAGGTAGACACTAATCGTCTTTCATAACTGATGACACGTGTAAAGATTCCTACAGTGTTTGTACACTCGGAGATATATATACCCACATACAGAGAAGCTTACTCATACATATATACATACATACACACAGACACACATACACACAACAGACAGCACACACATACACACACACAAACAGATAGCACACACTAACACACACACAGACAACACACACACATACGCACACAACAGACAGCACACACACACAAAACAGAGAACACACACACAAACACACACACACATACACATACACACAGACAACACAGACAACACACACACGTACACACATACACACAATCAGACAGCACACACACACACACCGTAGCAATTTTCAAAACTGAACCAATTTTCTTATCAATTATCTATCTCAGTTCTTAAAAAATACTCGTTTTCATTACAAAACAGTTTCAAGCACCATACGGTTTAGGAACATAAAAAATATACTTATCTATTTATATCTCTCTATATATATCTGCCTGCCTACCTATCGATCTACATCTTCTGTATACCCATCTATCTACCTACCAAACTACTTATCTATATCTATCTATATCCATCCGCCTACTTATCTATCTACATCTATCTGTATACCCATCAATCTACCTACCAAACTACTTATCTATATCTATCTATATCCATCCGCCTACTTATCTATCTACATCTATCTGTATACCCATCAATCTACCTACCAAACTACTTATCTATATCTATCTATATCCATCCGCCTACTTATCTATCTATATCTATCTGTATACCCATCTATCTACTACCTACCAAACTACTTATCTATATCTATATATATATCTATCAATCTATCTGTATACCCATCAATCTACCTACCAAACTACTTATCTATATCTATCTACATCTATCAATCTCCATTTATAAGCCAACCTACCTCTCTATCTATATCTACCTTCATATATCAGAGTATCCCTTTCCTATGTGTTTCTACATCTGGCAACTGTAGAGGGTGATGAGGCGTCACACCATACATCTTTCTTCCTCAAGAGCACATCATAACCAGGTGGATAGGCATACGAGGATAGGGATCGGTGGATAGGCATATGAGGATAGGGATTGGTGG